ATAATGAAAAATGTAGTTATATGTTTGATATATTATTTATATATATACATTAATATTTGTTTTTTGTAATAAATGTGTGTTTTGGTAATATGTACCTGATACGGAAACTCGCCTACTTTAGCATCTTCTCCACCTACGATCCTGGGATCAAAGAATGGAACGACTCTAGCTGCAACGATAAATTATTATTACTATGTAAAATGAAACCGAAGGATTTAAAAAATATGATCTTTGCAGAGATTAATATACAATTAATATAATTATTGGTAAATTACAATTATTAATTCTTATCAGATATAGGTATTTTAATAGTGAATTTTAATAGTGAAATTTAATATTTTAATAGTGAATTATCAAATCTTTGCAAGTTAGCAAACATTCAGCAAACATCAAAAATTATGAAAGAGGACAGAATATTGTATTTATATTCATATTTAATAATTATCGAATTCACAGTTAAATCAATAAAATCATTTTTTAATAATCCGACATCAATAAAGCGATTTTTTTCTCCAAAGTTTCGTCCTAAGGAAGCTGTATTAATTTGTAGTCACATAAACAAATAATTAGATATTGATTAATCCTATAAGATCATTACTTACCGTATGAAAACGCCAGAAAACTGAGGAGATACAATATTCTCAATGCCATTGTTTGATCACTGACTAAAACCTGATTTGAAATCGTCGACGTCGCGAATTTATACATACTCTTTGTAACTAGGGTTTCACCCCACTTTTGTATCGGTAAACCAATGATTAACAAGTTTTCTGAAGAAAAATCTAGATTAGTATAAATTATTTGTAAAATAGTATGTTGTGCAGATATATTGATACAGATTGCAATGATTAGATGTTTTGATAAGCTCGTGGTATTGTGTCACTAAAATTAAAAATATTTCTTTATTTCTGGTCATTGCAGTTTTCATTGGTCAATTTAATTTTTTCTTTTTTTTATATATATGTAATATAAAGAAAAATTTTAAGTACACACACACACACACACAGATTCCAAAGTATTTTGAAAACATCCATTTTTGAAAAAAATATTTCAAATAAAAGTTATATGGTCAAAGAGGGTCATTAAATGGCTATTTAGATTTTGGGTACGGGGCCCCTATGAACCTTAAAGATTGGTTCTCTTCGATGGAAATGCCTATGTTTTATTGTAGATTCTATTGGAAAACATAAGGAAGTTTTGCTCCTGGCAATTTTTTACTAAACTTCCCCTAACAGATAAAATGCCCTGTGTGTGTGTGTGTGTGTGTGTGTGTAAAATATTAAAGTTGATGATTTAAATAGTTATGTATATGTAGACATCGCGTTGCATTTATATTTTTTTATAATTTTATATGGTTTATGGATTTACGATATTTTATTTGACATTTTGGCTCAAGATTTAATATGTTTTGACTTAAAAAAATTTGTAATATACATTTTACATCATTTATAATATAATTAAACGCATTGTGTAATCATTGCAATATCTATTTAATTATATTATTTTTATTATTACACAGCAATAATCATTCTGTCTTGTTGTTTGATACATGACATACATTTGGATTTTCCCGCATTTCTAAATCTCCCTCGATAAATCCATTTGTTTCTTTGAGTTAATTAAATCATTTTTGCAAAGAATATCACAGTTGTTCAATCAGTAATTTAATAATAGCATTACGTTTTTGTATTTTTTTATTGTTTATCTTTTAATGAATCAGTTCTTTGCGACTCAATAGACAATATAACTTTTGATCTTCGCAGAAGCAATTTACTGATTACAGTTATCGCTTGTCAACTTCTTGCAAATAACTTTCTGTTTATAAATTCAGTACAGAAGATTATTATAACTTTGTTATTTTTTAAATTAATTTTA